TTTTCAGACAAGAACGCAAAAGATGCTTGCACAACAGGGGATTCAAGTAGAGGCAACGGGCGGGGACGTTCAGAGCGTTAATATATCAGCTTTGCACGGAACCAATCTAGATATCTTGACAGAATCTATAGTATTACAAGCTGAACTCGTGGGATTAAAGGGTGACCCGACAGGGTTAGTCGAAGCTATCGTAATCGAGTGTTCTACTGATCATTATCGTGGCAAATTAGCGACAGCTTTAATTCAACGTGGCACTCTGAGGAAGGGTGCATTTCTTGGTAAGAGCGAAATATTTCACTTCAAATATGAAAGGCAATGAAAAAATGTACAAGGTACTTGCGGATTTTCCGTACAAATTTTAACAACATATCTTACGAGCTGAAATAAGAAAAAAAAATTAAACATTGTCCTGAAATACTTTCTTAAAAAGTTAGAACAAAAATATAATCTGCGGGAAACAATTTTTCACCTAAGTTTGCATTTTAAATAGCTGTCTGCATGTTAATATAAACTTGATATCGATGCAATATTGAAATGTAATTTGTCACTGACTAGGCTACATTTAATTACGAGAAGTAGTGTTCTCGATTGTCATAACAATCATGTTATATGAAAATTCATATGCTGTTTCAGAAACATTTTTTTAGTCAGTCCAATTGTAATGTATGGATGTGTGTGGGCATATATAAACTTCAGAAAATTTGTTTCTTATTTCATATTTTTGTTATAAAGTATTTTAGGATATGTTTATATAACTTTTTTTTTTATTTTTGCTCATAGAATATACTATCAAAGTTTGTATGGAAAATCCGGAGACACTCACAACATAATATATAAGCTCTTTGACGATGTTAAAAAGGAGATAAACAAGAGACTTCCATTGGTTGATGCCGAAGAAGTGATAGGTATGAGAGAAGTAAAGAAATCAATTTCTATTTCAGAAAAATATCTGAATTCCCTGTTGCGCAAGCATCTTTTGCGTTCTTGTCTGAAAACATACATTACATACTATGTTGCTCTATTTTTAATGATTCTATTGTACATTTAATTTCACAAAATAAGTGTTCAAAAATATCAGATTTTTTTATGTCTTTTTTTTCCTCATTTCTAATACATTTTAAGGCGATGCTGGAACGATGGTCAAACTTCACGGCGCCGCTGTTTTGCCAACGATTTGTGCATATGTATGTGTGCGATAT